TTGAATCTCTCCCAATATTCATATATGGATTCATCATCTTTTTGTTCGATGTTGCTTATTTGCTTCTTGAGTGATGATGAAATAGAAGCGGGGTAGTACCTGTCAAGAAAAGCCTTCTTCATTTGTGGCCATGTAGTGATGCTTCCCGAAGGAAGATAGAATAGTCAGTCCTTCGCGGTGTCCTTCAAGGAAAATGGGAAGGCTCTTAGTTTGATCTGCTCCTCGGAGACACCATTGGGGCACATGCTTGTGCACACAATGTGGAACTCCGACAAGTGTTTGTTCGGATCCTCCCCTCGTAAGCCATGGAAGGATGGGAGTAGATGAATGAGCCCAGACTTTAGCTCAAATGTGACCCCCGTATCAAGAGTTGGAAAAGTGATACATAGGGGTTGTTGATTAAGATTCGGAGCTGTGAGCTCCCTCAAAGTCCTTGTCTCAAGAGCCATAGTGATTGGCTCTTCGGTCTCGCTAGATTGAGAACTAGCACTTGATGATTCCTCCGAAGAAGTATTCGGAAATAAATTCCTAAACCTTTCGAAGGCTTGTTCCGTTTGGGGGGTTGTTTGGTAGATGATTTCGTTTATAGATCGGGTTCTTACCATATACTCAAACAAAGCTCAGAAGAAATAGAAGTCTTTATACTTCAATTATATATTTTTTTTTCTTTTTCTTTAAAATAAAATAAAAAGAAAAATAAATTGCCTTTCCCCGGCAACGGCGCCAAATTTAAACCTAATCTAAACAAATTACAAGAATTTAACAAACTAAACTATTACACCGAAAGTGTGTAATTTCCGAAATATTAAACAATCAAAACTAACTAAAAGCGTAAATAAACATACGGAAATTACAAACGTATCAGCAACACAAACTTTTAATTATTAAAAGTAAACAAATAATCAACACTAGTCTATATATAAATCATCATTAGCAAAAAAAGGCAATTCCTAAGAGTATAGGGCATATCCTTAACAAAAACAGTTTGCCCCAATAATTATTATAAAATGTGTTCTCTATACAACACATCTTGTACAAAAGCTTGCTGCCTATACAACATTTCTATGCTTTTTACAAAAGGTTGCTTCTATAAATCATTAGCAAACAAGCCATTTTTAAGAGTATAGGACACATCCTTTACAAAAACTTGCTGCATATACAACATTCTTTTACAAAAGGACGCTTCTATAAACAAAACTATTTTTAGGCAGTTCCTAACCTGCTGAAATTCAAATAAGTGCATTTGTCCTGGCTGGGCCTACAACTGTATTTAACTGAAATTGACCGTCCATGATGTACTGTCTAGCCTCACAAATTAAGTCTTCTGAAATGTCAATGTTGATTGGTAATATCCCAAGCTTATCCATTTATCTTTTTCCAGTGCGGGGTTTCTTATAATGATTACAATCCTGAACTTTTAATACTTCTATCATAATGTACTGAAGATGTAACCATATATAGTTTAATAGCTTTGGTTCAAAAACATATTATGCATATACCATTTACTGTATTAAATAGTGGAGTCGTGTCCTTAGGAAAAGCTTTATACGTAATAGACTGAATACCTCTAAAAAAACCAAAATCAAGTACATTTAAATCTGGACTTTGTCTTGACTGACATGTCAGTCTAATACTGAACCCAAAAGATGTAACTTCCTTAGTAAATTGCTCATCATTACCACTTCAATGAGACCTTGCATTATCTTGTTGAATCCAAATATATATGTACATGCAATAGATGGATTTTGATCTAATAATATCATTTGTCACATTTTGTATAGTCTTGGTTTCAAGTGTGCCCGCAAGACTATTTGATGAATTTCTCAGTGCAAAAACCACCCCAGTGAATAGGAAAATGTCAAGTTTTACATCCCACAGTGCTTGGCCTTCAACTGAAACATGTGATCTGGCCACAATGGCCAAAAACATCATTTTCTATATAGTTTTTGTTTTGGCAACTTCTATAAGGGCCTTCCTCCCAAGAAAATAGGTAAAATCTTTGACTTTGTTTGTGACGTGTAAAACCATTTCTCATCAATGTGAATCATGTTATACATTGCAATAAATTTAGGATGTGTGTCAACTTGCTTAAGTAGAATCTGACTCAAAATAAACTCTAGCCTCTTTAGCATGTGTGAGTAACTTAGCTTAGGTTTGAGTTGTTTTTATGGGCTATAAGTTGCCTACAGTGATTGATTTTAAAAGCAATTGACAGTAACCTTATTGTTGTCCTTTGTTGAATGAGTAAGTACAACTTGAAGCATGGATAAATCAAACACCGTTGGTTTCCTTCCCAGCCGACCTTTTTTCTTGCCTTTTACATTATTGAATGTGCCATTTTCCATCTGAATTTTTGTTACAAACCAAAGTCTCGAGATTGTTGTTCCATGAAGTTTGAAGTCTGCTGCAATCTGTGACACAACTCCTTTAAGTAATGTTTTACCATCTATCAATATTAAAAGTTTCTCTACAAGGTATTTTCTTTGACTACTTTTTAGGTTTGCTTTCTTTGTAGTTGTTGATGTAAAGCTATCACAACCAGAATTCATTTCTGATTGTTTTTTATCTTCACTTTCAGTTTTAGAGAAAAAGGATGAAAAGACTTCAACACCTGGGTCGAATTCATCATCATCAAATACACCTCCGTCCCCTAGTTGAAGGGACTCTTTCACATAAATTTGCTCCTCCATTATTAATGTCACGCAGTGTTGTTTTTTTCGTTGTCAAGACTGGGGGATTTTTTGTTTGTTTGGGGCAATTGATGGAGTGGAAGTAATTTGTATGATTATAAACAGACTATTTGTAGATGGAGGGAAATTTTTGGGACTTGTAGATTTTCCCTCGCAATTGTACTACATAATTGAGCAGTACACCAATGCTCATTTTTTGCTTTTGTGTCTGTAAAGTATTTGTCTACTATTTAATATTGTAACACTTACTTTATTTGTGGAGTTATTATATCCGTATACTCAAGGGTAAAACAGTCAACTTGAACACCTTTTCATTGTTTCTTATTTTTTGTGCCTAAGGGCATGTTGCACTTAAAACTGAACAGAGATAGTACTTTATATATACATATGGAAGACAAATAATGCATGAAATTTTGTTCCGCAACAGAGGAGAAAGTAACAAAGAAGAGCCCATGAAAGTGTGATATTGTAGAATCGCAAATTATACTGTGGGATTAGCCCACCATGCGCATTGTGTGCCGATCCCAAAATGACATAGTTTTGTTAATTAAAAAGGAGAGCAACTCGACTGAAAGAGAGAAGAAAACGAGTTTCAATCGCGCGGTCGCTGTCTGGAGTTGAAAGGACATCGTCGCTGGGGACTTTCTTTGCCTATGTTGATGCGCCGTCGCAGATCCACTCCGGATTGAGATCCACTCCACCCACCCATGTTCGTAGCATGCCCTTGTGTTTCACCGACATAGATGACAGGCTCCTTAGCCGTGTCGCCAGAGATCTGCGGCTGCCTATTTACTCACCCTACAAAAGCAAAAAAATATCCCACCAATTAAATTCATACATATACGAAGTATTTGAAGAGAAGCAAAGAAGCAAATTTTGTATACAGAGTATATATATATACACACACACACACACACAACTTACACATTGATTTGGTTCAACTTAAATTTTCATCAACGTAATTTACATTTCTATTTATCTCAAGTTACATATCTATTAACGTCAGTTACATGTCAACTTTCCTCAGCAAGTTAGATTCCACTTAGACGTGATTAATTTACATTTTCCATCATGCGAGTTACACTACATTATAATGCGAGTCACACAACAAAATAAGCCCATATTATTCAAAGATTTTTTTTATTATAAAAACCACCTATATAGCTCTGATATTAAAAACAAAACATATACACTATTTATGTAAAGTAATTAGACAATTAGACTCTTTTTTCATTATTTACATTGAACACAATTTTTTACCTTTTTGTATTATGTTTACACAACTTATATTTGAACTTGACTCAAGTTACTTCTCTTATCAGTGCGGGTTACATTACTTTAAACACGAGTTACAATAGCTTGGTGCTGGAATTTAAAAAGAAAAAAGGAAACCCGAAAGCAGGATGCTCAAGGTAAGCCGCTCCCACGGCACACCAACTACCCTAAATAATTTAAACTAACCCCCCAAACTTGATTTTTTTTTGACAATAACTTGAAAATTTTATGAAGTGTATAATTAATTTTCCAATCGAGGGGCGCTACGTAGTTTAGAATAGGGATGGACTCGGGCCGGGCGGCCCGGCCCGGTTACTGTTTGGCCCGGCCCGGCCCGGACACCGGTCCAGGGGGCGGTTCGGGTCGGCCCGGCCCGGTAAGAATGCGGTTCGGGCCCGGGCCCTAGGATTGGTGAACCGGCCCGCCCGGTTCGGGCCAAATTAATTAATTTTTTTTTTGATTTTTTTTTAAGTTTTTGGGTTGGGCTGGGTATTTTGGACCATTTGAGGTGGTTTGGGGGTGAGGGGGGAGGGTTGGGGGTTAATTAGGAAAAGCCAAAAAAAAAAAAAATAGAACCGAGACCCGGCCCGGACCCGGGATTACCCGGGCCGGTTCCGGGCCTCCCATTCCTGAACCGAGGCCCGGCCGGGCCCAGGCCCGAACCGGGCCCGAACCGGAACCGGTCCACCCCTACTAGAAATGCAAAAGGAATTTTGTTCCGGATCTAAGTCTGTTTGCAACAGCTTCTGCTTTTAAAAAAGTGCTTTTTTAAATGAAATGGGGAAAAGTGATTAAATAAAAGTTGATAGTGTTTGAGAAAAAAGTGATTTTGAAAAGTAAAAGTGGGTAGTGTTTGGTAAAATAAGTGCTTTTTGTGTAATAGAAAAAGTAAAAACACTTTTGACGCGGAAGCCGAGAAAAATAAAAGTTGTAGTGTTTGGGAAAATAAGTGCTTTTTTAAAGCCAAAAGCTGAGAAGTGCTTTTTAAAAGCAGTTGCAAACCAACCCTAAGAGTATTTACTTTCGGGCAACATACTCCTACTAAGAAATTTTACTGGCCCGTGGATTGGGAATCAATAATAACTACGCTACACACATTATCCCAAATCTAGGTTTTCGACTTTCGAATTTCTGTTTCCCTCTTTTTTACCTTCTGATTTATCGGAAACACTAAATGACTGGATTAATCTGATTCAACAGACAAAATGAAACACCCGGATGAAGGCTGCAGCGGTGGTGAATCAGGAGTCGGCAGGGTTTCGACGTCCGTCGAGGCAGCTGGAGGCCGACAAAGGTTCACGGTTGAATTGAGACCGGGGGAAACAACTATCGTATCGTGGAAGAAGCTTCTAAAGGAGACAACTCGCCATCGGGCCATTAACAATGGGTCTTCCACCCATGTCCTGAGCTCCTCGGAAGCTGCTGAGCTTCAACCACCTCTTAATCCGCCGCATAACCAGTCCCCCGACAATTGCTTCCCTCAGGTAACCATTAAATTTATATCATTTTCAAGAACTTCGTCAAGGTTGAGCTGTAATGTGATATCAATTTGGTCGCACACTTATGATGTATTTGTGTCAATTCAATTTCCAACATTTTAATATTTTATTGTCTTTTACAGGGACAACCTGATGATAAGGAAGCTAAGGATGCCCCTCCTGGAAACCGTTTAAATGCTGTGATAGAGAAGATAGAACGCTTATACGTGGTATGAATTTTCACTAATCACAGCTTATCTTGGGTTGACACTAACATGTGCTAGTCATGAGCAATATGTTTTTCAAAGTTGTTTCTGGTCCATTTTTTAGTATTGGTAACCCATGTTTGCGAACTTCTCGAGCAATTTCATATGAGACTAATAAGTTAAATGGCCATTTATTGTTTGAAGGGCAAGCAAAGTGATGATGAAGAAGATCTGGATGATGTTCCCGATGAAGACGAGTATGACACAGATGACTCTTTCATAGACGACACTGAGTTGGTCTGTCACATTGCTATTTGTATTCCTTGTTCACTTCTGTAGTAGTACTCTATTTAAGATGTAATTTTGATTTAGGTCTTGTTGGGTCTACTTTCCAATTGTGACTGATAATGGTCTGAATATCATGTTTAACGGCTATATCAGGCTATGGGTGTGGCTTTGTAGTAAGTGGTAGAAAAATCAGAAAGGTTGATCCAATAATGAAAATCTGGTTGGGAACAGTGAAACATTTACATGATTTTGAGAAAGAAAGAAGACAAGGATATCCAATGACTCAAGTGAACTGACAACTTCAGAATAAAAAAATTGCCTCACGCAACTCATGATCATTTGACAACCTTGTATTTTTGTGCTCAATTTGTGGATTATTTTTTTACAGTAATTATTTCTTTTTCTTCTCTGAATGCAGGATGATTATTTTCAGGTTGATGACTCCGCTATAAAACATGATGGGTTCTTTGTGAATCGCGGGAGACTAGAACGAATGTGCGTGTTTTCTATTTTTATTGTTACTATTTTCATCGTAAGAATCATTTAACACTACATATAAGTTATTCTATTTGTAGCCGTTTGATTACAAGTTGCAGTATTGTTTTTAGATGTACATAATTACTTCTGTCAGTATTAAGATGGCGGTACTCATCAAGGACAAACAAGATTATAACGGCATGCTGTTTGATCTTCTAAAGTTTGAACATTAATAGTAATTTCTCAATTATAATTAAATGGAGTTATGAAGCTTCATTCATTTTCTTTCATGACATTCTGTCTGTATGATGCACCTGAGGAAGTCTTTTATGTTTGTAGATCAGTTTAACTGAAATGGATCATATTAATGCCTGTATGCAATTTCTGATTACCCATTCCAATTCCTTCCATTTTTAGTATCTAGCAATAGTTAAGCTCAAGTGTTTTAGAGTCAAGAAGTTTAAAAGTCATTTTAAAGAGTATTACTACCAAAACTTTCAAAAAGAGCCACATGTGACTCTCTTATAGAGTCACATGGGCTATTGCGGCATCATCTCCACAACTTTTTTTAGTGGAAACTTCCACTAATAAATTGAATGTTTTTAGGGAGTCACATGTGATTCCTTAAAACCAGTTGTATTACTACTTGTGGGTTTGTCACACATTAATGCCATGCATGAGAGATGAATGCTTCCTACTTTCATTTTGTACTGATATGCCTTTTGGTTAATTATTTCCTGTTAGTGAACCTACAGTACAACAAAATCAACAGCCAAATAAGCGTAGGAAGAAAAATCAAATCAAGGGCCTTTCTTTGAGTGATGATGGAGGTAATACAAATAAGCAGGTTAAAGTGGGAAAGAAGGCTGGAAAACTAGTACCATATGCTGTTGGAGCATCTAGTCACTCCCCTGGTCTTGTCAAGCCAACTCTGTGCAGTGAGAATGCTAATGTTCAGAATCAGGTAAGTTGATGTTTGGTTTAACAAAAATAACATTTCCTACTTTCTTCAGGAGTCATATATGGTCATCCTTTCTCACAGGTTGCAAATGTGGACCAGCAGAATTCTGAAGGTCACCTTTCAAAAAAAAATGTTGATAAATTAAAAGAAGATTCTGAAACCCCCATCAAGAGGCTAAATGATAGAAATCTACTTTCACAAGAAAAAACTTATGGAAGAAATGCAAATATTTCCAATGCTTTAGACCGATCACTGTACCATGGTGAAAAAAGTGGAATTCTTGATGAAAGGCTTAATGTTATCAGTGCTCCTGACGGAAAGAAGTCTATACAAAGTGCTGTGAGTGATAGTTTCTTCTCATACTAATTTATATCTTCTAAGGCTGCTATGCATAGTCAATACATGCCTATTAACATACATTTGCATATGGAACATATGTTTATTTGCAATAATATAAAAATCATGTGTGTACCCACACATACTTCAGAATACACAACCCCATTAATATTATTACTCATTGATATCGCTATTATATTGCATGTTATTTTAGTGGTCTGATCATCCACCATCTATGCTCTTAGCATTTTGCAGTTAATCTTTTAAATATTTTTCACCATCGATTGCTTGACCAATGCCATGCTTGTAGTTTTAAAGGTGAGAGATGTTCTTATATGCAGAAAAGGGATGGTGGATCTAATGTGAGATCAAAAATTACAATTCTTGAAAAGGCCATAAAGGAGTTGGAGAAGATTGTTGCAGAGTGTATATTCTGTTGCCCTTGATTCTTGTGACACTATATTTTCATCTTCTTATGCATTGATCATATTCATATAATCCATCACAGTGAGGCCACCAAATGTTGAAGTTCAAGATGGTGATAATGCGGCTCAGGCTATCAAAAGGAGATTACCGCTGGAAATAAAGCAAAAACTGGCAAAAGTTGCTAGATATGCGGTACTCAGTGTCCCGCCATAAATAAGTTCTTAACATTTCTGGATTTGTTTCAATGCACTTGTAATATCAGCTGATATTTTTATTTATATATTTATTTTGACTTATGATATGTGTACTTAAACTTTTCTTTGGGGTGGTTCCAGCAGGCTAGCCAGGGAAAAGTATCGAAAGAGTTATTAAATCGACTAATGAGCATTGTTGGTCATTTGATACAACTGCGGACATTAAAGGTATTGTACTCTCTCATCCCATGAATGTAAATTATATCTTCACTGTACTTTCCTTAGTCCAACAAAACAGTCTCTGCCCTCCACTTAATTTATTTTCTTTTGCAATCTAATGACGGATTGTGGGCTTGTGGCAACCACAATCATATTGAAGCGCAGAGAAAAAGCTGAATTTTTAAAAGAAACAAGTAGCTAAATCAATCTTTGAAATGTAAAATTATAAATGGAAAAGAAACAGTTATGTGATTGCCATTTTCTAGATGATAATACAACATATTATGAATTGAATGAGTCATATGTGTCATACTAGAAATAAAAAGTTATGTGATTGTCATACTCTAAAGATATATATCATCCTTTATCTGTAGAGTTATATATATGTATACATATAGAGTAGCGACCCCATCAGGCCGGCCTGACACGACACGCCGTCCGGCCAAGGTCATTTGGGGCTCTTCCTGGTGGAATTTTGGAATAAAATTTTGTGAGCATGTTCTTTATCAAGTCTAGTTTATACCCACCACGTTTCATCTTAAAATTCAATTGGTAAGATAGTTAAAATTCGATTGAGTTTTTAGCTGAAATTTGGTGGACATAAACTAGATTTGATGGAAGAACATGCTAAAAAAAAATCATCAAAAATTACACCGGGAAGAGTCCCAAATAGCCTTGGCCAGACGGCGGGTGCTGTCAGGCCAGCTATATGAACTGCCCCCCCTCTCTCTGTCTCTCTCTCTCTCTCTCTATATATATATATATATATAGTTTTGGATCAAATGAGAACAATGCTTAACGTCAGAACACCACATTTACCTTGTTGTGACTTTGTGATGCACAATGAGCTAGCCTAATGCACCTTTTGTGTTAAAGCATAATATTTACCAAAATGCCCCCGTGATTATTTATATTGGCTTGGTTTGAGGAAAGTCAAAATGTGCACTAGACGGGTTCTATTGTGTATCACATTGAGTTAAATGTGTTTGTTCGCACGTTCTCACTTTAAGCATGGTTCTCACTGGAACCACACCCTATTTATATATATATATATATATATATATATATATATATATATATATATATTCTTTCGATGTATTATAAACATTTAAATGAAAAAATTGGAAGGTAATTTCCGGAAGCATTAATAATACGTAACTGTTTTGTTAGTCAATAATAATACCAGAATCTGCAATAATGAAATGAGAGTATTGTGAGGACAGGCTTTTTGCTTGTGACTTCTGGTGTTTGTGGAGGTAAACTTCAGATGGTAAGATGGGAAACTGTATGACAACTTTCATTTTGCTGGCTGCAGAGGAATTTGAAGATCATGATTAATGTGGGGTTATCAGTAAAGCAAGAGAAAGATAATAGGGTGCTTCAAATAAAAAAGGAAGTTGCAGAGATGATAAAGACCAGAATCCCACTTATGAAGTCAAAGGTGTGTTTCTTTTTCTTATGATTTTCATCATCTTGTGGACATACTGCGTTGGATGTGTGGACATACTAGAAAAGACCGCGTGAGAAATTGAGACAATCAAACAAAAGGTGGGAGTAGCACCTATTGAAGATAAGATGTGGGAGGCGCGCCTGCTGTGGTTTGGTGAGATGAGTGATGCACATGTTAGATGAGTTGAGATGTGTAGAGAAAAGGTAGGGAAGAGAGGGAGAGGAAGGCTCAAACAGACGTGGATTAGAGGATTCAGAATTGATATGCTTCTTCTTGGGTTGGATGAGGGTATGACTTTGGGTAGAGTAAAATGGAGGGTGGGTACTCATGTGGAGGAGTGATCTTTTGTTATCTTTCCCCCTCGTCTTCTTTTTTCCCCTTTTTTAATCCTTTTATCTTTCTATATATAAATTTAATTTTATCCTTTTATTCTATCATTTTTATATATATCCATCTCTTTTTATATTATCTTTTTTTTTATCATAGCTTATCTTTTTATCCTTCTTTTCTTTCTTTTCCTTTTGGTGGTGATTTCATGTATCGATTCATGTTAGCTGACCCCAAAATCTTTTGGAACTAAGGCTTGGATGTTGTCATTGTCGTTGTTTTCATCATCTTGAATTTGTAATATAATGTCTATTTGGCTTGTCATATTTTTTTATTCTTGCTTTACTAAGACTGTATTCATTGATCATCTAATTTGTCAGAACTAGAATTGGATACTATGTCTTCTGCATGAGGAAATAATCAGCAATATTGTTGCTTCCCTGTGAACCACATTTCAGTTTTCATTTTCATGGCCCTAATCTTCATCAGTTCATGAGCTAGAGACCAAGGCGAAGCCCTAATTTTCATTTTCACATTAGCCCACTTTCATCTTCAAGCTTGTTCAGTTGTTTGTATAACATTGCAACTAATTTCCCTTCATGTTCAAGCTTGTTCAGTTGATTGTATAGCAGTATAGCCTTAAGTGTACGGTGTACCACACAACTAGGAGAGGGATGATTGCTTTTGTCCTCTTTTCAGGACATTTGTAAAATCAGTAATTGAGAAGTTGATTTATGCTACTACAAATCTACGACCAGTGAATGAGACCCCTTTGAATTTGGAAAAGTAATGCCAAACATTGAACACTTCAGGATACCTGATCATAACATTATTTAGTTCTGAGTTTCAGTAAATTGGCTTGCTGTATGTGGTTTTGGGGCTTTACGAAGATTTACAAGCCACAATCTTCTAGTTATCCAGATAATAACTATATCTTGATTTAAGAACATTCACTTGAATACTCACCTTCCATATTGTCACTTTCCAAATAATGTTGATAGACAATGGTGCCGTGCACCGTTTATGAATTAAAGTTCAGTAAAATAGCATGATGTACTTGTGCAGGCAATTGAACAACAAGCTGGAACTTCTGATGATTTTCAATCAATTGCGACTGAAGAAAAAGAAGCTTTTAAAAGAAAGTATTGCATGGATAATTTGCTAGAAGACAAAATATGTGATCTGTATGATCTCTATATTGAGGTTGTAACTTTTGGGTTTCAATAACCTTATAAGTTGATGCATAATTGCATTTTTAATGATCTGTTGAAATTTATTCTGAATGCTTAATGATTTCAACTTAAGGGACTGGAAGAAGATGCTGGCCCACAAGTCAGAAAGCTTTATGCAGAGGTAAAATCTTAAATCTTAAATTTGTTTCTATAATATTTAGTTGACTGATGTGAAATGTGAATACCTTGTATCTCAGATTGACTTTTACCATATGGTTGGTCTTAATAGGTTCATTTCTTAAATTTTATAAAGTATACCAAGTTAATTATTCTATACTTATAGAGTAAAACAATGTGTTATGATGCTAGTTTTTTTTTATGTAGCTCGCAGCATACTGGCCAAATGGATTCATGGACAACCATGGGATCAAACGAGCTATCTGCCGAGCAAAAGACAGAAGGAAGTCATTATATAACCGGAAAAAGGTAAGAATGCCATTGTGTTGCTCATTTTCATTTTATATCTAAGATTGTTTAATTGCATCTTGACGAGTTTATGGAGTAAATGGTCAGTTTGGTCCTCGAAGTTGCAAAAATGGCGTCAAATAAGTCCTTATATTGAAGATTCTGTCCGGACGTGCCATTTGAGGTGGCTTCCGGTGGAATTTTGTGATAAAGTTTTTTGAGCATCTTATTCATTAAGTCTAGTTTACTCATACCAAATTTCAGCTAAAAATTCAATCGAGAAGACATTCAAATGAATTCTTAAAGATAACAGCGCTTTTATCGGCACAGTTATCTTCAAGAATTCATTTCAATGTCTTCCCGATTGAATTTTTATCTGAAATTTGGTATGAGTAAACTAGACTTAATGAATAAGATGCTAAAACAATTTCATCAAAAAATTCCACCGGGAGCCACCTCAAATGACACGTCCGGACATAATCTTCTATATAAGGACTTATTTGACCCCTTTTTTGCAATTTCGAGGACCAAACTGACCCTTATCCCCGAGTTTATGTCTACCGTTTTAGAAATAGGACATAACTTTTACTCACACTGAATTATACACTAAAGCTTTCTAGTTTAGGATCAACAACAACATCCAAGCCATAATCCCAAAATGTTTTGGGGTTGGCTAACATAATCGAACCATGATATCAATGTCAAAAAAAGAAGACAGACAAGAAGAAGAAGAAAAGTCAGATAAAACAGATAAGATCAAGATAAATAAATATAAGATAACAATAACATAAGAATATAATAAAGATAAAAGATAAACAGATAAAAGAGCATAAAAAGCTAGAAGATAAAAACAACACAATAACATAAAAAGATAAAGAAGATAAACGATAAAAGAAAATGAATGGCTTGAAATAGTTTAGGAGCTTTCTCGTTTAGGATCATTTGTACATAATCAAAATGTTGCCACCACTGATGTACTTTTTTTATGACTTGAAATAGAATTAGAAAATGAATGGCATCATAGAAAAATCAGTAAGAACCTTCTAGAACTGTGTTTCCATATTTTATAAATTACTCTAGCAGCGGTAGTAACACTGAGCAACTGCGATTAGTATAGGTTTATCTATGGTTCGGTGATGCATTTGTCATTTGCGATTAGTTTTTCCTACCTCAATTTGTATATGAAACATACAAATCATGAATTTTCCCTCTGTTATGTGCTTTTAGATCTGCAATATTTGGTCTATTTGTTGGTAGCATTTGATGTGTTACTTGCTCTGTCTTACATACATAATATATAAATATAGAATCAAGAGAAAATAAGAAGGAACAAGGTGTCGGGTCAAAAGGGCGAAGATGCTTCTAAAGTTGAAACGACCACCACCACTGCTCTTGATCAAGAGAAGAAGCCAGCAATTGATGCAAGGGATAACAATGTCTCGGCAACAAATAAGCCAACAGTTCCCAGTGCCGGAGTTATTAATTCTGCCCCTATTCCCTCTCAGGGCATCCCAAGTTTGGATCGTCTGAAACTAGATAAAGCTAAAGGGACTGGTGATAGTAGGCATACTTCCCCAGATATGATTAGAAAGAAGAAAATGAAGAGGAAACTTGAGCCAGAGTTGTCCATTGATGGCCATCCGGAGAAATTAGCCTCTTCTACACAAGCGGCTGCTGAAAACAATCGACCTCAGGAGCCACAAGCAGCCTTTTCTTTCCTTAAGAAACCCATTCTTGAGTTAAATGATCTTCCCGGCCCTGAAGATTAGGCATGAATGCATTTTTATGAAGATAACAACTCTGATATCTTTGCTTTTTACTTCCTTCACAAGTCATATATGTAATTATTAGTTGTTGGCATAGAGCATTTTTACCTCTTGAAAGTGATGGGATCCGATGATTAGAGCATGTTTAGATAGCATGATTGTTCTTCCCCGTTTCTCTGATTTAGATGTACACTTGCATTACAAATTCAAATATTATGGACCTGTTTACTAACAGAGATATTTTCCTGTTTTCTGCTTATGTTTTTTGTTCTCCAATTTTCTGTTTTTATTTTTCATTTTTTCTATCGCCAATTTTCTGTTTCTATTTTTTAGTTTTCCATTTTCAAATCTGAAAACATGTTCATCAATTTTTTCACCCAATTTTCCAATTCTACACCCTTGACGATAGGGATGGACCCGGGCCGGTTCCGGTTCCGGGCCGGGCCCGGGCGGGCTTTTTTTCGGGTTACATGGGCCCGGAACCGGCCCGGGTTGATACCGGGTCCGGGCCTAACCGGGCCGGGCCGGGCCGGGCCCGGTTCAATGTTTTTTTTTTTTTTTTTACTTTCTTGTTATCTCCCTACCCCCCCTCACCCCCATGCCCCAAACCTCCCTAAAACACCCAGCCCTACCCTAGGAAAAGAAAAAAAATTGAAAAAACCAAAAAAAAAAAAAAAAATGAACCGGGCCCGGCCCGAACCGCCCGGGCCGGTTCAACAAAAATAGGGCCCGGAACCGGCCCGCCCGACCCGCCAACACGGGCTAAAAGCCCGGAACCGGCCAACCGGGCCCGGTCCGGTCCGGGCCCGCACAGTAGCGGGCCGGTCCGGTTCCGGGCCGGTTCGGCCCGGCCCAGTCCATCCCTACTTGACGAATGTGAAGCATATCATTGGAAGCCACTGATCTATCCTATCATATATATATATATATATATATATATATATATATATATATATATATATATATATATATATAGTAGTGTTTCTGTCAGGACCTCCAAAAAGAGACCTCCGTATTACCGTATAGGCATGGACCCGGTTCGGGCCGCCCGGCCCGGGACCGGCCCGACCCGCCACTGTACGGGCCCGGAACCGGCCCCGTTCTCGGGTCCGGGTCGGGCCTAGGCCCGGTGGGGGGGCGGGTCCGGGCTCGGGCCTTGTATTTGGCGAACCGGCCGGGTCGGGCCCAGGCCGAATTGATTTTTTTTTTTTTTTTTTTTTTTTTTTTTTTTTTTGCATTTTTTGGGGTTAGCTTGGTTGGGCTTGATGGTTAGGAGGGGTTTGGGGGTTTGGGGGGTGGGGGGGGGGGTGAGTGGGGGGGTTAGGAATGAAAAAAAAAATTATGACCGAACCGGAGGCCCGGCCCGGCCCGGACCCGGACTGGACCCGGTGGCTACCCGGGCCGGTCCCGGGCCTTCCTTCCCAAAAAAAAGCCCGGCCGGGCCCGGCCCGGAACCGGAATCGGCCCGGCCTGGGTCCATGAATACCTCCGTACGGACCTCGGCGTTTGGGCCCCTTCCCGGTGGAATTTTTTGATAAGAAATTTTTTGAGCATGTTCTTCATTCAGTCTAGTTTACCCATACCAAATTTCAGCTAAAAATTCCATCATGGAAGATAGTCAAATGATTTTTTGAAGTTAACTGCGCACTTTATATACATATAAAATGCAGTTAACTTCCAAAAAATATTTGACTGCCTTCCCGATGGAATTTTTAGCTGAAATTTGGTATGGATAAACTAGACTTGATGAAGAACATGCTCAAAAAATTTCATAAAAAAATTCCACCGGGAAGGGGTTCAAACGCCGAGGTCCGTACGGAGGTCCATTTTTGGAGGTCCTGACATGAACTTTCCTATATATATATTGATTCAAATGAGAACGAGTCTTCAAGTGAGAACACATCTCAGCCATCCAAAATCAATAACCATTTAGGATCAAATGAGGCATAGGAAAGGACATTTAAGTCTTCTCACATTTACGTCTTCTCAAATGGTAATCTTAAAAAGTATCCATTTGGGACCAAACAGGTGAATTTTTTTTCATTTCCCTAAAAACTAGGTAATAATAAATCGAGTTCGTATACCGTGGTACTGGTATATCATGCGCATGGTATACCGGTACCAAATACGATACCGTTTCTCTTTTCTTAAGAGCATTACGGATTTTCTTTTCCTTCAATCCACTACAGGTTTTCTCATCCTAGGAGCACTACGTATATTTTACTTTGTTTTCTCTCAAGCCTCCAGGATTCTTTGTCTTTATTTTTTTTATTTTCTGCAATTCTTGTCCCCTCTTCACCAAAAACTAAAAATTAATTGTAATTTTACTTATCTTTATCTTTAACTAATAAAATCACAATTGAAGTAACTTTTTTTTCTTTACCAATGTATTACAAAATTTTGTTAATTAAATAAAGTAAGTATATTGTATTTCATGATTATATACTAATATGATTACTTTATTCTTCAACTGAAATTACTACCAAATTTATTTTTTGTGTAATATTTTTTTATAGTTATACACTTTTTTGGTAAATACTTTTCATATAATATATTTCTATAATAGATTTCTTATCACTTTGCAAAAAAAAGATATTTCTTTCTATTATGTATTTAGTGATTTCAAGACATTAAATTTGTGTATTTCAATTTAAATTTGATAAAATATGAAATTACATTTTTCACATGTGTGAGTTATGTTAATAAACAATTTTTGGAGTAACATTTGCTAGTCTTTTTTGGAGTTACATCTTCTTATACATGCATTACATCTTCTTATGCGCGGGTTACATCTTAAAAATGATATAACTTTAAAAATCATTTTTTATCATTAGCAATGGTTTATTTCGTAGTGTAACTCGCGTACATTAAGATGTAACTCACGCATAAACAGATGTAACTCGCACATAAGAAGATGTAACCTCACATAAAAGGAGGGTTTTGGGATTGTTTGATTTAATTTAATTGAACACTAAAATGAACAACTTATATGATTTTAATTAATGAGATAAAAGAGACTTGGTTTTACTACTTTCCACTTGTTGATATATTTAGTCGATCCTTGTTATATCTATAACTTATCCCCTCTCGAATACTCAATCGAGGAGTATCTCCAATTCATCGAGGGTAGTTATTAACAACGACCGTTCATTAATAACCCTTGCTATTAATCAAGTATAGAACACCGCCATATACCGACTCGATAGTAGCATTTAATCTCTTAACTCCTTGATGAAATCAATTGAGATTGATAACCTCAAAATTAACCAACAAAATTAATCCCTCTTAAGTTTATTAACCACGACCGCACATTAATAAACCGACGTTACTTACTTGTGAAACCATCAACGATTAACCATCGGTTCGTTGATCGTTTCTAGTAGTAATTAATGTCGAGATGTTAACTAATTGCCATCTTAGCAACACTCCCCAACATTAATATGGAGATAGATTAAGGGAAGAATTAGTATTCATGGGAAGAAGTTAAGAAAATAACTCACAACTTTAATAATCAACAAGCTTAAAGAGCAACACCAAATGAAAGTTTAGCTAATCATTTGGAGACTAAACATGCTATAAAAATATAAAAGAAATACTATTCTAAGTTGAGCTCAAGAGTATGGAAGGAGTGATTAAAAGTGAAGAAAAATGGGGCTATTTATAGGTGTTTTCAACACCTATAGCCGGATACCCGGCCGGGTATTTGTCAAAATCAAATATTTTGCCCACAATTTTGTGTTTTCTGCACGTCTTTTTGTCCAGGTCACTTCATACTCGACCGGGTAAAGGCTATACCCGACCGGGTAAATCACCAAATCACATTTCTTGCATGATTTCTTGTTCCCTTGCATTTTCCTTTGATTTTGTAAGATCCCTTCCATGATCCTTTGTTGATTCTTGATTGATTCTTGCTCAGGATGACTCTAAATTTACTAAATTACAACAAAGTAGAAAAATAAAATGATTGCACCGTAAATGTGCAATTGCTACAACAACACACCGTAAAAAGTAATTAAAAGTAAAAATATAAACACTCAAAAATCAATGCAATCAACTCTCCCACACTTAGTCTATTACTCGTCCTCGAGTAAAATCCATAAAGTTCTTTACCATCTAAAGAGTGTCAACGAGATAAAAAGAAAAACAGAAGTGTTTTCTTTTTCAGTTTAAATTCATCCGCACTATAGAAAGTTATTGCTTCTCCCTCCAACTGCTTGTTATGGTGAAAATGAACTCCTGCAAAACTAATTTCTTCTCTCATTTCTCTCCTTTTGCCTAGGAGCCTTTTCAGGTTTTCATCCTAGCCTCTCATTTTTTACTCACTCTTTGTTGTTTTTTGCTAATGTTGCTTAGGTTGCCCGTTTGGGTTTTCAACCTAACTAGCATTTCTTCTTTTTATTATTTTTCTTTTCTTTCTATTTCTCTTTTTTATTTGTTTTTTATAAATACAACGAAGAAGAAACACTATATGTACAATGAAGAGTCTTCTGGCGCTAAATTTGACGAGCACTTTGTCGTAGTGCGTCAAAATAAATTCAATACTAGCACTTATACGTAGTATAGTGAAGCAGGGTTTGTATCCACAGGGAAAGGAATAATTCTCTTTTTATGAAACTAGTAAATAAAAGGAGGGTTTTGAGATTGTTTGATTTAATTTAATTGAACACTAAAATGAACAACTTATATGATTTTAATTAATGAGATAAAAGAGACTTGGTTTTGCTACTTTCCACTTGTTGATATATTTAGTCGATCCTTGTTATATCTATAACTTAACCCCTCTCGAATACTCAACCGAGGAGTATCTTCAATTCATCGAGGGTAGTTATTAACAACGACTGTTAATAACCCTTGATAGTAGCATTTAATCTCTTAACTCCTTGAAGAAATCAATTGACATTGATAACCTCAACACAACGGTTTCGGTTTAACCAACAAAATTAATCTCTCTTAAGTTTATTAACCACGACCGCACATTAATAAACTGAAGTTACTTACTTGTGAAACCATCAACGATTAACCATCGGTTCGTTGATCGTTTCTAGTAGTAATTAATGTTGAGATATTAACTAATTGTCATCTTAGCAACACTCCCCAACATTAATATAGAGATAGATTAAGGGAAGAATTAATATTCATGGAAAGAAGTTAAGAAAATAACTCACAACTTTAATAATCAACAAGTTTCAAGAGCAACACCAAGAAATGGAAGTTTAGCTCCTCATTTGGAGACCAAACATGCTATAAA